TTAAAAATGAAACTATGTGGCTTCTATGTGGGTTCAAACCCCATTTAGGGTGAGTCATTGTTCAGTATCATTGGTTCCAGGAATGGATTCAAGAGTGAAATCTATAAGCTTAAAGCAACCTGCACAATCAAACTAAAATAACTTTTGCATAAACCAATCATAATATCAAATCAACATGAGGCTTAGCATTCCAGTATTAAGCTAAATATTTATTATGCTAATAAAAGAACATTTATCTAATCCCAAATAAATATCTATCATATAATTATGTTGATACAAAACATACTGAATTATTTCAACAAAAACGTTTGACTTACTTTTATCTTTCTTTTTTCTCATGCCTGTGTTTTCATACAGAGTCCTTTGAATGAGACCATCACCTTCGGATGTAGAGAACCATTTATTGCAAGAAAAGTATTGTTCAATACCCGTATTGGGGCAATATACTATAACTTGATCGCAAAACCATCCTGGTGCCGCCCCACTGTCATCATGTCCGATTTCTAAACTTGTTAACGGGCTTAGCATCACTTGTAGATTAATATGGAATAACTGGGTCATCCCGCGTTTAAACTTGCCATCGGACAACCAAACTTTCCCGCTGTCCAATTTCTTTTTGCCATTATGAAGGACAACAAAAACATTGGCATCAGTTCCTGCATTCTGTCGGTCTCCAGTAACTACACTTATAACGTATGGGAAACCTAAACGATAATGAAAAATATTAGAAAATTACTATATTTAAAGGGGAGAATACTCGTTTATTAACCTGAAAGCTGAAAGTAAAGAGCTTTCAGCAAAGAGAATAAATAGACATTGATTAGGTCATCTTTTTATTCCTCAACTAAATGTCTCAAAAGTGGCTGTAAGTAGGAGAATATAAAAAAGAACATAAGAAAAGTGTCAAACTCATAAATTAATTTTGTAAGTAGCATAAATATAAACATTGTTATATTCTTGACAACTTTGTTCCCTTGTAGCTGAGTCAGAATAAATGCAAAATAATACAGTACAACCTCTGACAAGTGACACCCTTATGGAGCTGAGGATTTTGGTTGTTACAGAGAGATGTTACTAAAAGGCTAAAGAGGCTAATAGACTGTGAACAATAGTTACTGCTCCTGTACAGAGGCTATTACTGTACAGAGGGTCGATATGCACAGGTTGTACTGTATGCTCAAAAACATGAAAAACATTTAATCTTATTATTGTACCTCTCAAAATCTCAGTGATATCATTATTATTATTAAAATGCTTAAAATTTATTACACTATGGGTTATGTAACACTTTTTTTAACGAAATTGCAATAATAAACGTATCAATTTGATAAAGTTCATTAAATAAATCTGAGACACAGTCAGCTGCTAGCTAAGAACACTTCAAAATTTATTGCTTGTTCAATTTTCTTCACAGATATTTATCTTTTTTCTATTTTAAAAACATTTCCTTAATCTTCTACTCTTTCAACACAAGTAGCGAAAATGATTGGCAAGTGCATGCCATTAGTAGACCGCCTGGCTTGTAATGTAAAAGGTGTGTAAAAATCTGTAACAATTCTCTGAACGTCAAGCAGAGGTTGGCTGCAACAGTTTCTACTGATACGAGTGCATACCACGATCTGCCTGCACATCATTCTATGCTGACTGTTCATGGTCTGCACTGTTCACTTTGCAATCAGTATATACATGTAGTACAGATTTTCCCTTAAAACAATGAATGGTTTTTGTTTAGATTGAAAGAGGGACAAGTTCACTTATAATTTATAGCATGGTAAGGCTTTAAAGGAATGATATCAATTTTTTTTTTCAAAGAAACACATTTGTACACTCAAAATGATGAGATTCAGCAAATTCTATTCTTTTCAGCTATTCAAGTTCAAAACAATTGAATGTACTTAAATTCCTCTCACACCTTGAAATAATTTCATACAAACACATCAATTTAATACCATATCTCTTAAATTTCATTGACATATAAAAGCAACTATATAAGATTGGTAAGACAATGAGTGGTATGCAAAACAGCATACCAATGTCTTCTCTTAGAACATTATAGTGGAATTAGTACACAACTTACTGACAAATCAAAGTATTACATAACTTTACCATGAAATCTTTGAACTTAAAGGGTTACAAATCAATATTAAGCTATATCTAATTAAATATGCAGTCCCTTGGGTAAAATCTGTTACTAACATCTGGCTTAAGAAAATGGGTAGTAACCATTTGGTGCTATTATTCCTTAATATTTTAATTTAAAGGTAAACACTTAATGTGTTTCTATTTCATTATAAAAACAGCGTTTTTTAATATCATTTCTCATAAAACTCAATTATTTTATGATGCAATTGTCTAAACCACCTCATAAGAAAATAAATTATGTCATGACCTTATTTCACTGTCAAGTATCTAGAACAAACTTCATTGTGGACCTTAACTGTGGTCAGTAATTAGAACAAAGTTCAATGAAAATGGCTTATTATCTTGTCTTTGCCTAATAGTAATTTTTATCATGCAACTACTATGGTAACTGCCCGATAACACTTGCCTGATAATTATTTTTGATATTAGGTCAGTAACCTGATATCAAAAATAAGCCCCGCCCATTTTAACAGACTTTTTTCAATTGCTTATATTCTCATTTTTACCAGCATGTGAATTCTACAATGTAATCTCATACCCTTACAAGTCTTGAATCAAGGTGCGATATTTAGGCCTATTATTTCGATTTCAATTACGAATTAATTAGATAGCGAATAGTTTTAGCTCCAACTAAATGAAGTGACGTCATAATTTATATTGCAAATGACATCATCGATGTTCACGTCATACTATACATGTAATCATAACAAACAGGCTAGACGATTTTCATTGAGATCTTGTAAATGTTTACTTTATTTCGCCGGATTATTATTCAATAAGTGAACAAATTGTTTCGTCTAAAAAATAAGACGCATGTTTGTGTAGCTTGTGTTTGATTGCCGATTTGACTTTTCTTTGATTGAAATTCTCGTGAACTTTTGAATTTGACAATTCAAGACAAAAATTGCAGTAAAGTTTAGTTTATGTGATTCTAAGTGGATTTTTGGATCGATGTTTAAATTAAAGGTAAGAAATTTATCGTATTAGGCCTACAATCTGTTGTATCTTTTATCCGAGTCGAAAGAAAAAATGGCCGCCAATAACAAATTCTAAGTTAATCAGGGGCGGAGGAATTTTTTTCAAGAATTATTTCTTTGAACAAAAATCCCCCTTTTTTAACGAAATTCGCTATTTAAAAGTAGATTATTCTTTTATTTTGACAGTTGATATGTGTTACATGATAAATAGACTAGAAATGTGTCATCATGCCACGGATGCCCCCGCATGCAGCCAAAATTTCAGATGTTATAATATTTAGTTCCAAATTTGTTTGCACAAATTATTGTTTTCATTTTAAGTTCAAAGCCCTTAAAACTTTTCAATGTTAACACAAACCATTTCCATACAATGTTCAAGACACTGAAATTATTCAGTGTTAACCTTTTGAAAATAGCATATTTCATATTTGTAGCCAAAATAATGGCTACATACATTTCCACAAAAGTATGAGTGCTGAAACTGAAAGTTCAAAATTTTTCCAATATTCAAGAAAGATAAGTTTGTCCAAAATCATTGAACCACGACCAAATTCAAACTTAAACTGCTTATTCCTAAGATGTATCTTGTTATTTTCAAAGTGAAAGGGACATAACTCTGCCAAAAAATCATCGAACCATGACCAAATTCCAACTTAACCTGCCCATTCCTTTGACATATCCATAAGTCAAATTTGAGTTGAATATGTAACACTGTTGGGTAGATAATGAACAGAAACTGTAAATTTCATATCATTTTCAAAGTGAAAGGGGCATTACTCTGCCAAACATCATTGAACCATGACCAAATTCTAACTTGGCCTGGGCATTCCAAAAACATATCCATACGTCAAATTTGAGTTGAATGTGTTGTACTGTTGGGGAGATAATAAACAGAAACTGAAAATTTCATATTATTTTCAAAGTAAGAGGAGCATAACTCTGCCAAAAATCATCGAACCATGACCAAATTCAAACTTGACCTGTATTTTCTCATGACATATCCATACGTCAAATTTGAGTTGAATGTGTTGTACCGTTGGGGAGATAATGAACGGAAACTGAAAATTTCATATTATTTTCAAGGTAAAAGGGGCATTACTCTGCCAAAAATCATCAAACCATGACCAAATTGGAACTTGACCTGTATTTTCTCATGACATATCCATATGTCAAATTTGAGTTGAATGTGTTGTACCGTTGGGGAGATAATGAACGGAAACTAAAAATTTCATATTATTTTCAAAGTAAAAGGGGCATAACTCGGCCAAAAATCATCAAACCATGACCAAATTCGAACTTGACCTGTATTTTCTCATGACATATCCATATGTCAAATTCAGATTGAATGTGTTGTACCGTTGGGGAGATAATGAACAGAAACTGAAAATTTCATATTATTTTCAAAGTAAAAGGGGCATAACTCTGCCAAAAATCATCGAACCATGACCAAATTCGAACTTAACCTGTATTTTCTCATGACATATCCATATGTAAAATTTGAGTTAAATATGTGCAACCGTTACTAAGACAATGAACGGAAACTGATGATGACGGAATGACAGAATGACGGAAGGACGGAATGACGAAACAGGGTAACACTATATGCCCCGGCCATTACATGGCGGGGGCATGAAAAACATGCTACTGTCTTTCGATATCAATTTTATCAGGCTCGGCTGATATGGGCAGAAAGGGCTCGGCAAGCCTCGCCCTTTCCAGCCCATATCAGCCTCGCCTGATAAAATTGATATCCAAAGACAGTAGCATGTTATTCTCTATAAAACTACAAGAGGAGTCTGTCCGTCCCAATCACTGTTCCATTTATTTGCAAAACAAAGGACTATACCCGTTATTGAAATCAGATTTGAATAAAAAAAAATATTGTGTTATTAATTTACTATGGTAATTTTCATCACATTCTGGGTTTGCAGTTGGAATAAAACTTATTATTAACAAACATATATATAGGTTTTATATACTTGTATCTTATTTACTTGAAGTGCAATAGAAGTTTTTAGTTCTGCAGTTCATAGAAATTGCCCAGGCAAAAACATTTAAGGATGATAATTATGCAAATTTAAAGGTCTCATTTTATACACTGGACTTGTTTGCTGTAAAATAAGGTCTTAAACCATCTTGATAATATCTTAAACTTCAAAGTAATTTAAAATTGGAACCTATCTATGCAATCAGACTGGTTATGGCTCAATTTTTGTGGCATTTTGATATGTTATGTTTTTCTTTGTTGTTTGGTTTCACATTGCACCAACATAGTATAGGCCATATGGCGACTTTCTAGCTTTACTGACGGAGGAATACATGAGGTACCCTTCTGTGCATTATTTCAGGCACCAATGGGCACCTGAGTAGAACCACTGATTTCAGTAAGCTTAGACTGGATTGCTTCCTCACATGAAAGATTCCAAAGTAACTGTAGGGATACAAATATACAGCGGTAAGGGGCAAATGGTTTGATATGAAAGTTGTTAACCACTCGGACAAGAATACACCTGAATTTTGATGATGAAAACCCCTAAAACCACTATATTCAAAACCGGACATTTAAGTCCATCATAAAGATTCAA